CAGTGGATTTCCATGGCTGAGCAGGGAATTGAACCCTAATCTCTAGAGTCATAGTCCAACACTCAAATCACTACACAACACTAGCTCTCTTCTAGTTAATTATATCTACTTTATTACAGTGGGCCCTTGGTATCTGCTGAGGTTTGGTTCCAGGACCCTCCTTGGATATCAAAATCCATTGATGATCAAATCCCATTAAATACAATGGAGTAGTGAAATGGTATCCCTTACATAAAAATGGCAAAATCAAGGTTTGCTTTTTTGAAGTTATATATATTTTTTGAAGATTTTCAAACCATGGATGCCAGAATCCGTGGATATGGAGGGCCGACTATATATCAAAGCTATGACAAGAGGAACCCCAAACTTTCTAGAGATTCATATTTACAGTTGGCCCTCTGTACTCATGAATTCTTTATCCATGGATTCAAGCATCCACAGCTTGAAAATATTCCAAAAAGATATCAATTCCAAAAAGCAAACCTTGATTTTGCCATATTATATAAGGCACATCATTTTACTATGCCACTGTGTTTAATGGGACTTGAGCATCCATGGATTTTGGTATCCACGGGGGTCTTGGAACCAAAACCCAGCAGATACCAAGGGCCTATTGTATTCAGAAAGATGTTGCTGGAACCTGTGTGTGTGTGCTTTAAGCAATGCAAGGAGATTTTGGAAGATCATCCCTTGTCATCTTAGACACAGAATGCCCTTATTTCTAAGCAAATACTCCACTTCTCTCCTTCCCTCCCATTATTACCATTTTGCTTTCTGCAACATCCGTCTCCATGGAGATATAATGACTCATTTAGGAATTAGAGAGGATGGTGGTGGCAGGAGGCAGGTGTGTGGTGCATGATGGGGCTGGCATGCACTCGCCTCTGATGAAACAGACTGTTTTCCCATTTCCTAATGATGCTTCCTGAGATCCAAAGGAGGCCAGTGATTTGGGGATACTTTGCAGTGCTCATCTGGTAGCAGTGCCTTGTTACCCATGTCCACATTATTCTGTAACAGGGCACAGATGACCCCTGCTACCCTTGCCAAGGTGCCAGCTCCCCCCATACACATTAAACTGGTATCCACTTCCCTTGCAGCCTACAGCAATCAAGTGAAGGAGCGGACGCTGAGCTGTCCTCTTGGCAAGTCTCCCATTTTGCCTCAAGTTAATGGCTCTTTAGAAATCTGTAAGTAATCCTATCCCTGGCCTGGGGTTCTGGGAGATATAGCCCGCGCACCCCCCTCCCGAGACTAGCTCTCATGCCTTCCTAAATGGGATGAATTACTTATGGCTGAATCCATTAGCTCTTCTGCTTTTGGGGCTCCCACACTTTCCTCTCAGCTTCCCTTTCCACTAACCTAATCCTCAAGACGCCTTGCCTCAGATGTGCAGTCAGTTTTTAATATCTTCGGTGGGTGATGCAAATGCCTCTGAGACAGAAGGAATTATTATACTGGAAGAGCCATTGTTCAGCGTTGGCATGCATTTTGCAGCAGTTGCAATTGCTGTTTTGTATTAGAGGGGCACAGAGTTTGGGGGAAATTACATTTTAGACTATAACTCCCAGGATCCCCTAGAATGTCCATTCTGGCTGGAGGTTTCTAGAATTTGCAATCCAAGGGTGACTCTACACCATAGAAATAATGAAGTTTGACACCCCCTTAACTACCATGGCTCCATCTCACAGAATCTGGGAATTTGCAGTTTTGAAAGGCACCAGCACTCTTTGGCAGAGAAGGCTAAAAACCTTGTAAAACTACAAATACCAGGATTCCATAGGGTAGAGCTACCACGTTTAAAGTTCTGTCAAACTGGATTGTTTCTAAAGTGTAGTAGATGCACCCCACAAGAGCAGCTTTTGTGAGCTCTGGGCAATGTGGCTTAAGGAATCCAAATTTGCTAGGCAGTATCTCTCAATATCCTTCACTGTTGACTATGTTGGCTATCCAGCAAATCCATGGGCCACCCAGCTATAAGAGCTAGGATTGCCAACTTTTTACCAGCCTGTGCTCTTATGCCTTCAATGGATGCTTAATCTGCAAACATTAGGAACAGAGGAAACCACCTATTCCATGTCAGAACATTGCTCCACCTATCTTGCTTTTGTCTACACTGAGTGTATTTTGTTTTCTGAGTTTCAGACAGGAGTCTTTCCAAGTTTACCTTAAGATCCCAAGATTGAACCTAGATTGAATCTTCTGCTTTAAGTCCATATGCTCTACTCCTCAATTAGGGCTTCTTTTAGTGATAAATATTAGCAGGTGATACTGCATATCATAAAATATTTAATATTTTCAAGCTGTGGATGGTTGAATATGTTATAAAGAATCCATGGCAGATTGTACTCAGAGGTGGTTTTGCAAGTTGTTTCTTCAAAAATATAGCCTACAGCACCTGGTATTCAATGATGGTCTCCCAGCCAACTCAAAGAGCTCCTGCTCAATATACAATAAGGTGCAAAGGTTAATTTGTCCTCAGGGGATAAATTGGCTTAAGATGACTGTATACCAGGAGTACTATAGCTGCCATTCTATACTGGGCAGCTATTTACAATGCCATAAGGCAGAGATGATGTGAAGACACACAACAACAAGAAACTTAGAATTATTAGCCCTAGATCTCTTCTTCTGGTGCCTTTGACCAAAGTACAAGCCCCAGGATTCCTTAGGAGGTAGCCATGACAGTTGTAGTGAATGATAGTGGAATGATAAAATACTTAGACTAGACATCGTTCAAACTGAGGATGACCTCTAATAAAAGATTGTCCTTTCTCAGCCCTTAAAAAAAATCCTCTTTTACAGAGGACAAAAGACCCTTGGCCACCCTAGTTTCAAATGTGAAGAAGATAAATGGCCCAGCCTATTCCTCTGTCGTTTTACTCTATCTTGATCTTCAGAAATCAACAAATGAAGCTTTTATTGCAATGATGATTCCAAAAGCAAACCTTATGCCATTGTATTTAATGGGACTTGAGCATCCACAGATTTTGGTCTCGGCAACTGGTCCTGGAATCAAAGCCCAGTGGATACCAAGGATTTACTGTATTCCTTGCCTAGAGTGGAATTCATGGAGTTGCCATATCCATCGGGCCTAGCTGGAAAAGAAGAAGGGCCCTCCCTCCATCCACCATCATCAGGAGGGAGAGAAAGCAGAATGTGTGCTGTTTTAATCTTATTATGTTTATTTTAATATTGTATTTAGTCTTTTAAGGGGGGGTTATTGTATTACTGTTATTGTTGTAATGTATGTTTTTAATCTGTATCTTATATTTGTAAGCTGCCTTGATTGCTTAGGCAAAAGGCAGGATATAAGAAATAAATTATTATTAATAATAATAATAATAATAATAATAATGTTAACAGGTGGCTTGAAGGTATATGTATGCACACACTTCTTTAGACCAAACGGAAAGAGCTCCTTGCTCAATATACAATAAGGTGCAAAGGTTAATTTGCCCTCAGGGAACAGATAGGCTTGAAATGATTTTATACCAGGAGTTCAGTAAAGGCTATAGATGCCCATGCTGTATTGGGCAGCTATTTACAATGCCAAGCACTGAGATTCACCCGGTGGCATCTCAGGCGGAGTGTTTCCAGTCCAATGGAATTTCACAGTGATAAGATGGCTCTCTTAAAACGAACCTATTCCGCCCATTCCCTGGACCTCAGCCCAGTCTCCCAGTCCACTGCCCAGGCAGGGGGATGGGAGTGTCTACTTTGTACGATACAATATTTGTTTCCCTCCCCAGCTATCAAGAAGAGCTACAATCAGGATGTAATGACGACAGATGAACTGGAACATCAACCAGCTTGGAATGGACGGTGTGTGAAAAGGAGACCGAGAAGAGCCCACATCAAACCGCAAGCGTGCACAGCTGACAGCACATAGGAAGAGAGGGTGGCCAAGTCAGAAGAGTGAGATCTGTGTCCATCTCTGTGGTCAGAGCTACTGCACTTGCAGGTAAATTAGGGCTCCTTTAGAAGAGAGATCCTCTTGGATCCTTAGTGATTGTGGTTGCATTCTTTATACTTCACACTGAAATTTGTTTCTAACATCCACTCTGCAGCTATCTCTACAAGGCTCCGACATCTTTCTTTCTTTCTTTCTTTCTTTCTTTTAAAATAATGAGCCATGTCACTCAAGTTTTGTTGTGTTTTAAATTTCTTTTTAATGACATAATCCTTTATACAAAGACTATTTTGGCAGAATAATATATCTTGTGTGTAGCTCTATGCTCTCCCACCTTGAATGATGCTCAGAACCTGCTGTCTCAAGCACATTGGCTTAAAAAAGCTATTTATTTGCTTACTTGAGGGTGAAGCTACTTTTTCTTTTACCTATGATTCCTGTACAGTGAGGGATCTGGTGTCGCAGCTATGAAACTATCTTCCTTCATGTGTTCAAGACCCCAAATACTCTATTGTGATGCTGATGGGTACCAAAATCATAATTGTAATTTTAAACCAAATTCTAAGACCACAAGGAATTCTGGTGAAATGTATCTCGGGTGTGATGTGTATGTGTGTGGACAGAGAAGGAATCACAGGGGTGGAAGGGATCTCATGGCCATCTAATCTAACCCCCGTGCAAAAAAACACAGCTCCCTCAAGATAGCCATCCAGCCTCTGCTTAAAACATCTAACAAAGGAGAATCTCACACTTTCCAAGCTCATTCCACCCTCAAACATCTCTGAAGTTTTTCTTATTATTTACTTACAAACTAATTTCTTGTGATTTTAATCCTTTAATTAATGTCCTCTGGAGCAGCAGGAAAAAAGCTTGCTTCATCTTCTACATTATATCCTTTTATATATTTAAGAACAGCCTTCTGAATCCTTGCCTTACTTCTATGGAGACCTGCTCAGGTCCCAAATTTCCTGGGATCTTGGATAAATAGGAAGTCGTATTTTCCTTCTTCTTTATTTATTTTACATGAGCTCCCAAAGGCAGAGAGTACAGGTAAGAGGGGGAAAATACAGAAATGTGGCACAGATGAGAGCTAGTGAGGCATAGTGGTTTGAGTGTTGGACTATGATTCTGGAGTCCAGGGTTAGATTCCCTGCTTGATCCTGAAATCCACTGGGATTTCATAAACTTCAGTCTCCTTCCTCAGATTGGGTGGTTTATAAATAAACAATTTATTCTTATTATTATTACCGGTATTATTATTATTATTATTATTATTATTATTATTATTATTATTATTATTTCCCCCTTTAAGTTAGCTTACTTCAATTGCTATGGGTTCAAAGTGCAAAAGTAATTTGCACTCAACTGAGCAGGAAGGAGAGGAGAGGAAAGGAGGAAGTGGAGTCTTGCCCTTCCCTGTAGACTCAGGCAAAAGCAAACTGCAGTAGCCTCACCTAATTTGGGCATCCTTCCTCACTGATATTTTTTGCCTTCTTGACCACACTCTGATATTGCTTGGCTACATGTATCCTGGTTTTCATTGATGGCATTTTAGAAGGTATTGGAAAAGCATAATCCAAGTATGGTATAACAATCTCCAATTGTTTTTCTCCTGTTTGATTTGTAACATCTTGCCTGATGAAGAAGGCCATGGAGCTTCGAAAGCTTGCAACAAGTATATTGTGTATTTTGGTTGGCCCAATAAAGGTATCCCTGATGGATTTTTGTTTGAATTTGCTAAATGGCCAACACAGCTACCCCTGAAGGATTTCAAGTATGGTATGTTTGCCATACTGCAAATGCTGGGCACAGTCTGGTTAAAGCAAGATGCCTAAGTCTCATGGTTTTGATGGAAGTGTTAAGCAGGGATCATCTAAGCAGGGCTGTGAAACTTTACTCATGTGCTTTTAAAACTGGTACAACAAGCAATGGTTGTGCAGGGGGTGCTTTCCCGTCTCTACGTTTCCATGTGGAGTGGTGTGTGTGTGTGTGTTGTGAGGGTGCAATTCTGCTCTTGTGCATTGCGGCCTGTTGTGTATCCATCAAAGACACAGAACGCCTGCCAGAAAACAAAACAAAAAACAGATTGGCAGCATTATCTCTTCTCATGCCTGGACTTTCAGCCTCTCCTATGCAGCCTCCTAAAACTATGCGCCCCCCTCCCCGAAACGCCCCGGGGTCCAGGCCCCCTCCCAGCTGGTAGGCCTTGGTTCCTGCTGTTTTGCCTTCTCCTGTTATTCTAGCCCAGTGGGGTGGGAGGTCAATGGGCCTGTTGTTTCCTGCTTCCCCCCTCCCAGGCCTTTGAACTGACTGGGTTTGGTTAGTTAGGAGGATGGGCAAAGCTCAGGAAACTGCATCCCAGCAGCAGCCTCACCTCTCAGAGCCCCTGGCGCCTTTCATCTCTGCTCCGGCTCAGTTCCCTGCCTATTGCATGCAACCGGTGCCAAGCCAACTCTGGCCCTGGCCCAGAGTCTCCAGTTGTCCTGGGTCATCTCCAGATGAGGGGACACATTCTTCAGTTTTGGGGGGGCTGAGCTCCAGGCAAGAGAAAAAAGCTGTCTGCAAATCTCCAGCCCAGCAAGTAGAGCAGCTTTGGTTACTGGGTGCCTTCAAGTCATTTCCAACTTATGTACTATTTATTTCATTTGTATGCCGCCTTTCCCCCAGAAGGGACCCAAGGCGGCTCACAGGTAAAAAGCATTTTAAGAAACATGCCAATAAAAACATAAAACATTTAAAATAATCTAAAAACCATACAAAAACCATGTAAAAATATACAAAAGCTAAACGGCACAACCAACTCACACACCCCACACAGCTGCCACCCTATCTTATAGCGACCCTAAGGCTAGGTTCTATCAAGAGGTTTTCTTGGCAAGATTCAGAGGAGGTTTGCCATTGTCTTCCCCTGAGGCTGAGAGAGTGTGACTTGCCCAAGCTCACTCTTGGGTTTCATGGCCGAGTTGGGAATTGAATCCCGGTCTCCAGAGTTGTAGTCCAACACTCAAACCACCATGCCATGCTGACTCCCACTAGACCAGAAGCTTGTTACAATTTTGCAAGGTTTAATTGATTTGTTGCTACAAATCTTGCAGGGAGAGTTGTCCACAAAACCTAGTGCTACAACTTCTTTCACTAAAAAATAAAAATAAAATATCTGGGGCCATACAGCAAAGTACAATAACATCCAAAATCCACAAAATAGCGATATTTTTACTGAGCCAACCAAAACTGGCACAACCAGCAAAAATTGAATGGAGATATTTTGGTTGGTCCAATAAAAGTATTGATGTTTTGTGAATTTTGGATGTTATTGTCCTTTTCTTTCACTCAGTTAAGTCTCAAAGATGCTACAAGCATTTTAGTTAGCTTCCTCCCTCTTTCCCAGTTGTGGCACCAGGATTCACTCTCCGCTCTGCTCAGTATCCATCTTCTGGCTAGAAGCAAGTAGGCTACAGTTTCCATATCTCATTTCCTTAAGGAAGTGAGAAGAAATAATCCCTCATTTCATCTTGATCCAGAAACAGTCCTTTTAAACTAAGATTTCTGTCTTATTTTCTAATCCCCTACTGACAACCCTAAAGAGTAATGGCAGCTACTCAGGCAGTTGATTGGGAGGGGTCATAAAAGGATAGCAAATTATTACTAACTTAATTGATTCTTACTGAGGTTTTTTTTTTTACTGCCAGGATTGGAAGAGGTACCTGTGGGATTTTCTGTGGGATTTCCCATGAGTGCTAATACAGATCTGCTGTACGCTGCCTCAATTGCACTGCAGAGAGGCGGCATAAAAATAATAATAATAATAATAATAATAATAATAATAATAATAATAATAATAATAATTATTATTATTATTATTAGAATTAGAATTATAGTGCTTTGGTGCCACTTTTAATTGCCATGGCTCCATCCCATGGAATCTGGCTGTGTGTGTGTTGTGGTTTCATAATAATACTGTTACTTTATTTTATTTTATTTTACTTATGCTTTGACTTTACCAGTTTGTTGACGATTACCAATTTTATTGTACTATCATGTACTATAATGCTGCTATTTTATTGTAGATATTTGCATATTTTTGTATTCTGTATTTTGGCACTTGTATTTTGTATATTGATGTATTTTTACAGCTGTAATCTCGCCTTGATCCTCAGGGAGAGGTGGGAAATATAAATAAAACTTATTATTATTATTATTATTATTATTATTATTATTAAGGAGGCAGCAGAGTTAACATGGTACCAAAGCACTGTAATTGTGTAGTACAAAAGAAACCACAACCATCTCTACTCCAGCCCAGCGCTCTGCCCCACACATACAACCGCCTGACTCAGCTGTCATTTTGATGCTCATGGAAAGACAGCAAATTGTTAGTTATTTAACTGGTTGTTACTGCATTTTTACTGTCAGGGTCGGGGAGGTGTCTGTGGGTTTTTCTGCCTCATATGCCAACATAACGTGGCATCAGGCTTTGGTTACTATGGCCTTTTTGCGGGGGGGGGGTGTCATCACAGAGGGTGCCATTTGGTGCTTTGCTTCAGGCAGGAAAATGTCTCAGGCCATTTCTTTGGACAGGCTGAGCCTACAAACCAATTTAATTGTGATATATATAGTCATTTTGAAACTGACTTCAACAGAGCTCACCAGTAGGTCTGAAATCCAGACATTTTGCTTCAACTGGATCCGCCCATGACTGCTGTGGTTGCTTTGGCTGCGTCTGCCCTACAGAAATAATGCAGTTCGACACCGCTTTAACTGCCATAGCTCCATGCTATGGAATTCTGGGAGTTATAGCTTTGCCTTCTCTCTCAGTAAGCTCTGGTGCCACAACAAATCCCATGATTCCATAGCATTGAGCCATGGCAGTTAAAGCTGTGTCAAACTGCAGTGCAGATACAGCCTTTCACCCTGCACAGTTATAGAACATAGAGACCACTTTAATGCCATGTCCCCATCCCATGGAATGTTGGGATTCGTAGTTGCATGAAGTATTCAGAATTCTCTGTCAACAAATCTGTAGTGCCTCACCAAACTACAAATCCCAGGATTCCATAAGATGAAGCCGCGGCATTTAAAGCAGTATCAAAGCACTATATCTTATATTTAATTTTATGTAGAGTATGTTTACCCTCCCTTCAGCCAAAAAAGGCTCCCAGGGCAGCCTACAAAGCATTAATTTGCCAGTTCCCTGCCCTCAAGCTGACAATCTAAATAAGACATGACACCTAAGGAAAAATGGGTAGGGGGGAGCTAGTTAAGTCCAATTGATGCTGGCTGCTCTTCTCTCCCTCAGAAAGCAATGCAATGGTAGTTGGCACATGGCCGCTGCCCCAAGGCATGGTGGGGCCAGTAGCATCCCTAAGGTTGGCGTCATCCGGTGCGGTAACTCATGGTGGCACCCTCCCCCCCTTATTGACCTCTTCCCATCCCACCCCATAAAGAATTCTTAATCATTTTTTTTGTACTATTATTACTCATGAATCATAATTTTCATATATCACTGAATGTAATGGTAATATTTGTGACGTAAAGCAACAAGCAACATTAAAATTATACCTTGAAATGACAGTATCATATGCTCAGAACACATGTATTTACATATATATTGTTCCACACGCTTAAAGTGAAAATTTGATAAAATGTGATGTTTGTAATGAAAATTTTAAGAATTGAATTTTAAAGATTTTAAAAAAAAATTTAAATTTGAAATTTTATTTTAAAAAAAACAGGGGGCCTCTCCTTTCTCCTCCCACTGAGCTTGCCCACCAACACCATCTCTTCAGCATTGTAAAGAGACACAGGTGAATGCCACAGCCCATTTCTGCCCAAAGGCAGATGTTTGAAGAGCGGAGGTGTCACCTCACCTTAGGATGTCACCTGGTGTGGTCCGCACCCCGCTAGTGACACCATTGAGTGGGGCTATAGTCGTATAAGATGGGGTGTGGTCATAAGAGGGGCAGGGTGAGGATACTGCCTCACCAAATATTCTGCCCCTCTTAACTGTTCTTTTTCTAGTCCCCAAATTTTGAGCGTTGCAGAGAGTGAGACTCTGGCTGCATCCGCAGTAAATGACTATTCTGGTTTGACGCCACTTTAACAGTCGTGGCTCAGTGCTATAGAATTCTGGGAAGTGTGGTTTGCTGCAGCACCAGAGCACA